CAAGAACCACTGGACAAGGAAAAATGAAAATGTGAAGTCTTCATTACGTATTCTAAATTCAAGATTGTCCATATCATAACCACCGGGGGTAGGACAGGGCCACAAGAAGGGGTCAAAGTTTTATGTATGAATGTAGAGTAACTGTCTTTAAAAGTCTTCTTCTCGAGAATAGCAAAACCATGATTAGTCATTAATAGAATCATTCATTACTTCGAGTGTGGGATAGTGAAATTCCACCGAAGATTCACGGTCTAGGACGAGGCTTTGCCGAGTCCTAGACAGTGAATCTTGGCCCCGAGGTGGAATTTCACTATCCCACACGAGTATGTAATGAATGATTATTTTTCTCGCATAATCACCAATGTTAGATAGATCTGTCCAGTGTGAGACAGCAGTGTGAGATTTTTGTGTCTTACACTGTGTATTACTACGCTGCGAACGGTAACGTAAACATTCCTTCTTATATAATACTTGTAACAATGTCTAAAAAAAATAACATATTCTTAAAATGTTGTTGTTTTATTTATTTAATCAAACTTATTTTCATTCAAAAGACTGTCGTATTTTCACTTTCTAAATGGCACTATTTGTAGGTCGCGGAAGGATTCTTCTAAAATGTTACGCTATCGTTTTTTTTTTAATCCAGTTTATTTAATTCAGAATGATTTAAGTGGACTGAAACTCATTTTCTGAGTTTACACTTACTGTGTAAACCATTTTCAGGTACGATTTATTTGATGGTGTATTCAGATTTTTAATTGGATGCTAAATTAAAAGTTTAAATTTTTCAATGGTAATGGCATGTCGTTATTTTGGATAAAATAATGCGAGAAAAAAGTATTCTCAGGTAGTGTAGATTCAATTTTATTCCAATCATTACCCCTGTGGGTAGGGCAGGGCCACAACAGGGGGTAAAAGTTTACTATAGGAATATATAGGAAATACATGTACATGTATCTTAAAAAAATCTTCTCAAGAACAACTAAGCCATTATTAGACATATTGATAGAGAAGTATCCTCAGGTGGTGTATATTCAAGTTTCTTCAAATAATGACCCATTGGGGTTGGGCGCAGACACAAAAGGGGCCCAAAGTTTTACATAGGAATATATAGGAAATATCTTAAAATTTTTTCTTCTTTAGAACAGCAATGCCATTATTAGTCATATTAATACAGAAGTATCCTTACATAGTGTACATTTAATGACATCCAAGGGTAGTTCAGGGCCACAACAGGGGGTCAAATTTTTACTTAAGAATATATAGGGAAAACATATTTAAAATTCTTCCCCTCAGAAACAACAAAAGCATGATTACTAATATTGAAATGGAAGCATCCTGAGGTAGTGTAAATTTAAGTTTGTCGCCCATAAACTTTTCGATATTGATATGATTTCTGCTTTTTCCAAGCAAATGTGCTCAAGTAAGCAATGTGGGCCTTTTGGTTCCTTTTACTACAAAATAACACACTTCTCTCTCCTAAAAAATGATTCAGAAGAAATTAATATGAAATCAAAACGCATATTGGAAAATTGACTGTACATAAATAGATCGATACCTGGTATCGTTTTTCATATAATTATCAAACCAACAAATAATCATACATATTTTTCCGTAAGTAAATTTCCTTTACATATGCACTGTGAGGGAGTACCGTAGTGAACAGTGCATATGGAACTTATGTAGTTCTGTGGGGGAAATATTGAAAAAAAAGAGACTGGAGTCATCATCCCAATTTTTTTCAGGTCAGCGAGCTACAGATATGCGGCAAGGAACTTATATCGCCTCGCTATTAAGGAGCTATCTTTTTCAGTTGCTAGCGCTCTCAAGCAAGCGCTAGCAATTAGTCTTTTTTATTAGTATACGCATCCTCGGCATCACGGTACTGCATTCTAGTAATACTACTGTACCATGTAAATTCCGTTATATCAGCAGAAAATACACATGATCTGAAGTTCCCTGTCTTATTGTCTTACCTATTATAACCTGTACAAAAATGTATATAAAGTAACAGTTACTTAGATATTATGAGATATTACTTCTATATTACTTATCTTCACCCTTTTCATTCAATTCTTGGATATTATGATGCCAAGACTGATGAGATCAGTCATTTCTAAAATTATAATAAATACCTAGCTTTTACTATCTCACTTGATCATTCTGGCAAGTTCAGAAATATATCCTAGAATATTTTTTTTCAAGCTTGCCGGAAAGACCCAAGAAGATACGATTGCACAAAACAGTACCGCACTGGAATATTTTAAACTACATGTAGGTGCCCATTGGTTCTATTGATGTCTTATTTTTCACCCCAGATTGAAATTACAGTAATCTACAGAATGTTTAAGGCAGAGTTAATTAGTTGTGTCATTGTGAAGCCCACTCTAGAATTCACCATTCTGAATTGACCCCCCCCCCCCCCCCCATTCACTACACCAGTTTACCACCGTGCCTTCTTACTGATGATCAATCGATTCAGCAAATTAAAGTTCCAATGATTCTGATATCTACTTCTGTGTTTCATGATGGCTACAGCGCTAGTTCACCTATCGTTTTAAAGACTGGTTTGTAAATACTAGAAAATAGTGATATGTAAATGTCTTCTTCCATTTCAAGGTACAGCAAGCATGCATAAGTACTGGATGAGTGACCTTTTCACTATATAGAATCATGCAAAAAAATCTGTGATTATCCTTATATTCACATGTAGTTTGACTTAATGACCCAAGATATAGTGAGACAAGAAAGAAAATCCCAGCTTCACCGTAATGTAACTTCAAATACTTATGAGTAGTGAAGAAAAAAAGTACTTTTAGCAACTTCCCCGACGCCGTGATCAATCATCGATTAATGCATTGTACTTTGACACTCACAGTCTTGCTTGCAAATACACAAGCATAGGATGAGAACAGTTTCAGGAAGTCAAGGACGTCTTAAATTCATTTTTGGATGAGACTCAAAATAACTTGACTTTAGTCATGGTACATAGCTCATTATTATGAGTTTAAAAATATTGGATGGTCTAACATTCAATAAAGATACTTCCAGTTCCCCTTAAATACGTTTTAGTCCTAATATAATTTCCATAGCTGGAAGGCCCGGGTTCGATTCTCGTTTGCTGCATTGCTACAAACCTAAAACATAAACATAGGTAGTGACTGCCTCTTCGCCAAGCACCCGTCACTAGAAGTGAAAGTCAGAGGTCCTTTGGATCTGACCTTAAATGTTATGGTTGGCATTGGCAGATAAAGAACCCTTAATGATCAGTGGGTCTGAGTGCTGAGTAAAGGTGTAAATTTGAAGGTCTTTATCAACGTGGATGTAAATTATTACTTTAGTGTCTAAAACAACAATAAATAATCAATTGATTTCCAGATATTTTCAAAACCAATAGACATTTTCACAAAGAAAAAAAAATCTTGCCATAAGTTTCAACCGTAAGAGAAATCTTTTCACAAAAGTTCTTAGAGATTCTTACATGTAAAATTTAACAGAGCTTTATGAGAGTCCTTATCTTTCATATGGAATGGTAGCTAAGCTACATCAATTTAAGGTACTATATCCACGGTAATCATAAAAAATATACTATCTGAAGAAACAGGTATGCTAAAGCTACTTGTATAACCAGTTAGTTTTGCCAATTTGAATAATAAGCAAAAACTGGGGCCAAGTATTTTGCAAACAAAAAGTTTGTTTTCTGGCCAGTGTGGAACGTGTTACCATGGCAACCCAAGAGTTATTTATTCTATGGAATCTTTACATCAACAAAGATATTTTGATACATACTACTTGTATCTATTTGTGTTTATTTTTCATTCAGAAGGCTTTTTTCAGAAAATCTCATTAGAGCTTCAAAAAAAAAAAAAAAAAAAAAAAAAAAAAAAAAAAATGCCTGTATGTAAAAGGGTAAAGTGGTTACAAAATTGGTTGCAAGCTATAGGTATTCAGAATTGTTGCCATGGGTTAATTAAGTAAAATTTACTTTTATCAGACCCATATTAAATTGACAATAGCTAAATTGGAATTTTAAGAATAATTATCTATTTGTTTCCATTATAACTCTATACAAAAATGCCAAAAATAACCCTTTTTGCATTGTTGCTATGTAAAACTTGCTGTTGCCAAGAGATAAATAATTATGAATTATTGATTCATTTTTAAAATGAATGAGAATTATTTTCTATTACTTGAAAAATTGTATCTACAACTAAAAGATAACAATTTATAAGATTTTGACTCAACTCTTTACCATTTTTCACTTTTTCTTTATCAAAACATCCAACTTTGTTGCTAGGCAACGGATAGGATTTTTCAAAAAACCCGCGTTTTCAAAGTTAGAGTCTTAAAGAGGGAGTCCTCCCCTTTCATGTGAAATAAACACAACAGCTGTATTTGCTTGGTATTAATTTTAAATTGACTTTCAATATTGCCAAAATCGAGGAAAATGCTGAGTCAGCAAAAATGCAAAAACATGTATATATTCTAATAGCTACCACAGTACTACCTTTGAATAAAATATCAATGTCTTGTGTTGTTTAAACACCTAAAGTGTGTGTCTTTATTATACCAGTAAATAAGAATAATTGTTAAAGTTTTTATATATAATTTCAGGCTTTAAAAATAAGTGATTTTTTGTCCTTTCACATGGAAAAATTGGCTGGTTGCTAAGGAAATTACTTTGACCAGGTTTCCATAGTAACCATGATCCAAAACATTTTTCATTTTAAATTCATGGATCATAGTGCAAGAGAAATCTATGTGTGGAAAATCATCGAATTCTGAGAACCCCCATGAATCACCTTTTGTCTGATTTTTGTGCGGACTGGTACTTAAAATCAAAAGCACAAGTAGTAAACGGTTACATATATGGTCCTAAAATGGGCTTAATCCTAAGCTGAATCATGCTTAAATAGCATTAGAAAATATGCAAAACATCCATTCTAAGTTTATTTGCTACCAATGATTTTTTAAATTTAGTTTTTTAAACTTTGAAACAGGTAACGGTATGATTCTAAACGATGGTAAGAAATTCACCACCAAAGACCGAGATAACGATATCTACGAGGCCAAAAACTGTGCCGAGAAGCACCACGGGGCCTGGTGGTACCACATGTGTGGCTACTCAAACCTCAATGGACAATACGGCAACCCTAATGTGACTGGCATGGACTACATGATCTGGTATTTTTGGAAGTATGATGAACCATTACAAAAGAGTTGGATGATGATAAAAACAAAAACATAAATCTTCATCAACACGAGTAATTCAAAATGGACTTATTATGTCAGTGTTTTTCTCTGTTTTATCTTTCAACGTAAAATCACCATTTTATCGTAATTTGTCATGATTTTTATCTACCTCTTTGTGTGTTTTCTCCATTTCTAAGGCAAAGGTAGGGGAAATACGATACTGTTTAGATTTTTATGACTCTAGATCTTCTTTTTTTTTTTTTTTTTTTTTTTTACAAATTTTCTTGACCTTTTTTTCCTGTCTTACTCTAAATTTCTCCGAATACTTTGCCAACAATTATAGTCTAAATATTTTGTTTTATATTTATTTTCACCTGACGATTAATGATTTTTAAACTAAAGCCAAAAAATGGTCACCATTCAGTATCTAAGTTAAATAGATGTATCGTTTAATTATACTCTATTTGATATAGGTAAAGAGAAATCTATAATTTATACATAATGTTTCATTAATGTCCATTAATGGTATATATGTATATTGGTACAGACATCATTCATTACAGAGAAAATTTCTGCGGACAGAATCGTATACAACTTTGAGAAATGAGGTTGACAGTCAATAGCTAATGTGTACAGATAAGAATAGAGAAATAGTAAATCGAAGTTTTATAGATTCTTTATCTTATTCAGAAATGAAATTTTAGGACCTGAACTTCTCACAGAAGTGAATTTAATCGCGCAGTTTTGGTAGAGGAATGTATGTTAATTTTAATCATCACAAAAGTCTGCTTGAATAAAATTTATGTCAAAGAGTCTCGTATAAACGTCGAAAAGTATAAAAAAAAATTTAAAAAAAGTTATCAAAGATACCATTATTGGAATAGGGTGACTTTCATTATTTAATGTACAACAATGTTCGTTAAAATAGGACGATCCTTTAAGGGAAGCTGAATATTCAAAAGTATGTTTATATATGTTATGTCTTGAAGGTTTTTCTTATTTTTAATAATTTTTATGCCCCCGGATCAAAAGATCCCGGGAGTATATTGTTTTTGTCCTGTCTGTCTGTTTGTCCGTTTGTCTATTTTTCTGTTTGTCTGTTGTCAACTTTAACCTTGCCCATAACTTTTGATTGGTTGGAGCTATGACTTTCATATTTCACAGTGTATTCCTTGTGACAAGACCTTTCTTTGGGTACCATCATATTTGACCTTTTGATCTTGACCTTGGAGTTTGACCCACTTTTGCAAAATTTGATGAGACTTTAACCTTGGCCATAACTTCTGAACAGTTGGTGCTTGGGGTTTCAAGCTTCACATGTGTATTCTTTGTGACAAGGCCTTCCTTTTGATACCAACAACTTTGACCTTTTGACCTTGACCTTGGAGTTTGACCTACTTTTGAAAAACTTTAACCTTGGCCATAACTTTTGAACAGTTGGTGCTTGGGGTTTCAAACTTCACGTGTGTATTCCTTGTGACAAGACATTTCTCTGGATATCAACCTCTTTGACAATTTGACCTTGACCTAGGAGTTTGACCTACTTTTGAAAAAACTATAACCTTGGCCATAACTTTTGAATGGTTGATGCTAAGGCTTTCATATTTTAAATATGTAATCCTTTTGACAAGACCTTTTTTGGATACCAACCACTTTGACCTTTTGACCTTGACATAGGAGTTTGACCTACTTTTGAAAAACTTTAACCTTGGCCATAACTTTTGAATGGTTGATGCTAGGGCTTTCATGCTTCACATATGTAATCCTTGTGACATCACCTTCCTTTGGATACCAACCACTTTGACCCTTTGACCTTGACATAGGAGTTTGACCTACTCTTGAAAAACTTTAACCTTGGCCATAACTTTTGAACAATTGCAGCTAGGTCTTTCAAATTTCACAGGTATATTCCTTGAGACAAGACCTTTCTTTGGGTACCAACATTTTTTGATTTTTTTGGCCTGGATTTTGACTTGCATTTGAGAAACTTTAACCTTCGCCATAAGCTGCCATACGGGGGCATCAGTGTTTCACAAACACATCTTGTTTTGTATGTTGATTTGACAGTTTTTATTTTATTTTGTAATTTCGTTATTTATTTATTTCGATTTTTTAAATATGGTTTTGGTTTGGATTTTTAGGTCTCTGTAGAAATATCTTAGAATCGAAATCAGTAAAAGTCGGGAGAATAACAGGAAATGCACTAAACTCGATAAATCTGTCTAAATACTAAAACTAGTGAATGTATTTGCATGTAATTCATAGCATATCTAAATTTATCATTAAGCACTTTGGTTTTTAAGCTAAGTCCTAAATTGACAAATATTGATACTGGAATTTAAAAGGAAAATAACAAATTACAATCAATGTTGCCTAGATACTGAGTATATCATTGACAGAGAATCTAGTCGTTAATTTGACCATACACAGAAAGATTCGTTATTTATTTAAACATTTAAAATTCAATAGGATTAAGAAACGAGCGAAATTGCATCAATTATTCAAAGTAAATAAGGTGTTTTATATAGTAGGTCTTTGATACCAACATTGTATTCTCTTCTGTGAAAGGGTTCTGTAAAACAATGTCCTGAGTATAGATAAGCACAGATCCTTCATTTTCAGAACCCCTTCACTTATTTCATACATTTACAAAATATAAATGAATGATATATCGGTGGTAATATTTGCTCTAGGAAAGCAGTCTCACACAAAAGAAGTTCTTAATATTTAAAATGGACAATACAACTAAGTTTTGTTTGATTTTATGAGAATTATAAGATTAACAAAACTACACCATCAATGATTTGTAAATTAATCTCAATTTAACATTAAAACCCAAAATCTTCAGGAAGAAATATATAGTCATGTGCATATCTTTACACCCTACCTATGGCAATATTAAATTGAGTAATTCATACAAAGGTTTCCACTCTTTAATCTTAACTCTATAAAAATTACACTTTAATCTGTATACTTTTAACAATAAATCTGTAAATTTTACAGATTAGTGAACGGACGTATGTTTTCCAAACCGCTATGCCATGGGTGCACAATACAGAGTAAATTAAACTTAAATCTTTTTATTGTTAAGCTCAAAGAAAAAAGCAATCTCTTGTTATAAAGGTAAAATGTTAAAACAGGAAAAGATATAGCCTCTCTTCCACTTTATCGCTTGCTTTAGTACCATTTGTGCATTTGCACATTAAACTGCTTGGCTGATTTGTCCAGCAAAAAAATGTAGATATTCATCCTTGCATTAAGGCCTTTTGAGGATGATATATTATATAAACAAAACGTGTACACCCTGAACCAAGTATATTCATATTTATTATATTTCATGCTTTACTGATGACATAACAAATGAGGTGGCCCACGTGGCGCAGTGGTTAAAGCGTTTGTTCGATCTATCGGGGAGAAAGGAGTTGATCCTTACGTTGCGGGTTCGAATCCAGTGTGTGATGCTGAGACCGGTCCTTTGGATTAGACCGTATAAACCGAGGTCCCGTGCCACACTAGTTACTGACACGAAATAGATCCCTCGACCACTGCTCAAGGGCTCTAATTGCCAAGTACAGATCTAAATTCGCAGCCATTCACCGGCCTGTGGTGGTTTCTCCATATGGATGAAAGGAACGTTAAACAAGCAAACAAACAAAGACACAAATAATGATCAAGTTATCAAAGGAAAAACATTTGTGAAATACTTCATTATTTCTGATTTCAAAATTTGAAGAAACTTAAATGTAAACTACTTGAATATATACATGCATTTGACTGACTGTACTTTATCTTTCTGTAATAATTTTTCCGCTTAATATTCCTTTGTAATCTTCTTCTGTAATCCCACTGATATACTAGTGAGAGCAAAATTTAAACTTGAGATGTTTTTTCTCATTTCTACACACAATGCAAGTACACTGAAGTTGAAATTAAAGGATGCCGGATTCCTCATTGACAGCATTTATATAGTCGTCGGAGACCAGGTCTTCCAACAAACTGCTGGAATTTCGATATGCACTAATCGTGCTCGTTTATTAGCCGACCTGTTTTTATATACCCCTGAATCAGACTTTATTCAAAAACCTCTACATGAGAAGAAGAAAACCCTTTGCTGGGCGTTCAACTCGACATTCAGATAAAACGACGAGGTTTTATCAATTAACAAAAATTACTTTCATCAATATGTCGCCAGGGTCTGCCACATCTGTGTCATATTTGGATGTTTAACTGACTAAACAATAGGGGCCATCTAACAACTAAAAAGTATGACAAATTAGTTGACTTCAGCTTTTCCATCCTCAACTTTCCTTATTTATGTAGTAATATTCCGCTTTTATTTGCATATGGTCTTTATATCTCTCAACTTATTCGAGACTCAAGAGCATGCTCTGAGTAAGATCAATTCTGAGTCCGAGACAGACTACTGACAGATTAGTTGATGTTACAGGGATTTCAACAACTCCTTTTAAAGTTAGCATTTCGTTAATTCTATGGTCGTTATCATGATCTTGTTAACAAATATAAACTATCATTAGGTCATATTTTGACCGACGCTTTTTATACCATTTGCTGACGTACCCGAGACTGCCAATATGAAAATACTGTTGTCAATAAAACAATATCATTTAAAGTTTCTATAAATTTATTTGAGAGAATTATTTAGATTGGTACAATATGAAGTACATTTTAAAACCCAATTAATCTTAGCTGGTTTGATTATAAATTTCCGAATGAGTACGCGGGATGAACTTTAACTTTAAAGGAAAGGGTGGTGGTGAAAGGACTGACATCCAAAGACAAAAATCTAATTAATAGGATAATTAGATAAGTCCTGGTGAAATCATAAACTTGCATATGTCTATTACCCTGAGGAGCATCGCTACTTCATTTTAACGTCACGCTAGTCGTTTGTTTGTTTGTGAACGTCCCTCTCGAGAATTTCTCACTCATATGGAGACACCATCACTTGCCGGTGGAGGGCTGCAAATTTTTACCTATACTCGGCACTTATGGCCATTTAGCAGGGATCTTTTTCGTGCCAACACGTACTGCGACACGGGACTTCGGTTTATACGGTCTCATCCGAAGGACCGGTCTCCACGTCCCACAGTGGATGCGAACCCGCGACGCTAGGATCAGCTCTTTACTCCGCGACTCTAAAGCAGTTGCTCTAACCGTAGATCATTTCTCATATTGAAACGATCAGGAAGCGTTTAATCTTCTTTTTCTGTCATCACATATAACATTCTAGAAATAAAACTTTCTCTTTTCTTAAACGATTCGTTTAAAAAAATATAATAAAATTTGTGTTGTTGCTAGTGTAAAATTACTTGAAGTGTTATGTACAGTTTGATTTAGTATCATGCAGCACAGATGTTTGCATTGCAGGTCAACGTTATTTAGTCCGTAATGTTTGATAATCGAGCCTTTGTTTTTACTCTGATTGAATGATTTATAAGAAAAAAATAACAATGAGAAAAAAATAACAAAGCTCTTAGACATGTTTTTTTGCATTGTTATTGTTTTCGCAGGTCGGTTAATCTGTTCAAAAGTTCTCCACAGCGCTGCCTAAAATTTTTATGCTCGATACACCGCCTTAACGTCAAAATCCATTTTGTCTCCGTGCTTGCATTTCTTAATGATCTCCGTACTTCTGATCGATATTTTAACAAACTTGCACAAAATCAAGTCAAAATAAAATTGAGAAATTATATACATATTCACTTACTATTGGTCTACCGGGAGTTTTGTTATAAAAAAAAAAATCAAATGCCCACGATCCAACAGCACAGCAATTTCTAGATGATTTTGTTAGATTCTGTCACTCACTTTCAACCAAAAAGACTATTTTTTACTATTATATATCTAAATTTTACACTACGTTGAGGAAAGGAATAAGTGGGTCTCTGGATATCTTAAAAAGAACGAAAATTACCTCCACTCCGCGAAAATTAGTTATTCTCTCCATCTCTTTGTACAAAAAGTGTTCAAGTACAAAAATTGTTGACTATGCACAGAAAATTCCCTCTAGGTTTAATACAAGTATGTAGGAAATTATGCATCACACACTCAGGAGCCTTAGTGTTTCTCATAGGATAGGTATTTCTAGTCAAATTAGAAATAAAGCATGTTTTTAAAAACTGCCAATTGATGACTGTTCGGAAACTGAGTGTTTGATGCATTATTATTTTCTTTTTTACATTATTTTGCTGATTTTGCTCATTTTTATCTAACTGTGTGCAATAGTCTTCATTATTTTTCTTGCTCACACAAATTGTTTATATTCAATGTTATCAATAAACAAATACACAAAGTTTATTTTGTATCTCAAGTACTGACTTATAACCTAGAAAGATTTTACATTAGGTCAAATGTGCATACGCATGCTGTGTACGAGGACCAGTGAATCAATAAAAAAAGACATTGTTATCCGAGAGACAACAAAGTCCTTAAGTTTATTTGGCAAGGTAAACAAATATTTATTATTCCAAGATTATCAAAAATTTTGATGTTATTAAAAAACAGGATGTGTTTGTGAAACACTGATGCCCCTGTATGGCAACTTACAGCAAAGGTTAAACTTTCTCAAATGCAAATCAAATATGTTAGTACCCAACGTAAGATATTGTCTCGAGGAATATGAGCCATGTTCACGACCAAACAATATACGACACATCGATAGTTTATATTTGAAAACAGGGTCATTATAACAATCATAAATTTTCCAAATAAAGACTCTTAACAAGGTTGTTGAAATCTCTGAAAAATCTTACTTGTCAGTAGCCTGCCTCGGTTTAAAAAATCAGTGCATGCGCTTCCATATCTAATCATTTAGGAGATATAAGCACCATATACAGGTGATACTGGAATATTACTACATAAAAAAGCAAGTTGAAGTCATTATGTATGTCACACATGCTTTCTAGCTCTCTAATTTGAGGTCATCGTTTTTCATTCACCTTTTCCCAACCTTGCAGATGACAAGAACATGTAATTTATTTTAAATTGGACAAAAACAAATCTGGAAGTTCGGGATTTGTAGATTATGTACTATTTTTGTTTTTTGAAAAAAATCACACGTATCTCATTCTCTTCAACAAGGAGTTAATCAGATGATTTTGGAGTTTTCTCAAGAATTGAATTTAAGAGCCAAAGAATCATATTATAAAACAAATTGGGTTCCATGAAAATTGTACTCATCTTGTAGTCTACAACAGCAATAACTGTACATAGCTTAATTACAGGATTAAAGCGTATTGAAAGGTAGGAATTACTTTATTCATATTTTACAGTTGTTAATCATATTTGATGGTTTGTGCCTGATTGTATTCCCCCTTTTTAAAAGTAAAAAAGCAAAATACAAAACTACTTTGAGTATTCTGTTTTTTCTTTTTATTGTTTCTGAAGGTAAATTCGATCTACCCTACGTACAATGGATTTCTAAACTTCATAAAAATCCTAACAAAGATACATTGTCAGGTCCAGTAATTGCTCTATAAAGCACCTTACTCCTCACAAAAATAGTAAGTGTTGTAAAGGAGAAACTTCAGACATCCACTGCTACAGCATATTCTCGTGTAAATCACAAACTCCAAAGAACTTTTAGAAAATTTTAAATCATAATATTTTTCACGAGCTAGAAACATCAAAATGTATGAATTTTTTTTTTTTACACTTCATACATCCATGCCATACGATAAATTAAAAACTAGGCTTTTTGATATCAATGACAAATGCTTCTTCAATAAAAATGGAACTTAGAAATTTTCGAACCTTGTGATTGTTCACGACAAGATTACTTTGTTAAAAAACCACTCTGATTCTTCACACAACTATTCTTAAGTTGATGAGAAAGGATCCTGAAATTTCTCATTGACAACATCTATGTGATCCTTGGAGACCAGTTCTTGCAACAAATTGTTGGAATTTCGATGGGCATCTAATTGTGCTCCTTTCTTATTCGACATGTTTTGATATTCTGATGAAGCAGAATTCATTCGAAAGATTCTACATGAGAAGAAAACACTTGCTATGGCCTTCAACTCGGCATTCAAATATATTAACAACGTTTCATCAATTATCAATAGTTACTTTTATAGTATATCGACTCGAATTATCCTATGAACTGGAAATAAAAGACTCCATAGATTTTGCCAAATCTTTTTCATATTCGGATGTTTTACTGACTATAGACAATAAGGACCAACTAACAACAAAACTGTATGACAAACGAGATAACTTCAGTTTTTCATTTTCCTTATTTGTGTAGTTATTTTCTGCTATCAACTACATGTTGTGTTAATGACTCCGAACGTATTCGATGCATGATTTAGAGCATGCTCTGAGTACGATCAATTTATAAACGGAGGGAGGCTTATGACAGATAAGGTGATGTAGCAGGGATTTCAACAACTTTGTTTAAAGTCAGTATTTCGTAAATCCTATGGTGGTTATAATGACCTTGTTAGCAGATATAACTTATCATTGGTCGTATTTTGACTGACATATTTCATACGATTTGGTAGGCCTTTGTTTTTGTTTTAAATTTAAGGATCTAATATTCCGTCGTCCAGGTCAATACATAGGGCACCTGATCACACCTCTGAGCGTATGTTGCCTCATTGAAAAGAGAGTGTACTATTCTAGCCTCTGATTGGTTAATATCCAAAAAGGAACACAAATTATTTCTGTATAACCTGGTTTGTAATGGGGACTCCCCCCCCCCCCCCCCGACAACCAGCTGAATCATCTGTATCCATACAATCCTCTCATTTCCAGTCCTCGGGATTCATGGAAAATTCCAGATTTAATAAATGTACCTTTAACTTCAAACAATAATTCGATCTTACCACATGTAAACAAATAACAAGGCTGCTAGGCCTATGTATCAGTTTTTACCTCCCCTCACTCCCCATCACTTCCGTTACTACGGTTGTATTATTGAGCAGCAAATTTGAACTAATAAAAAGCAACGACATTTTACACCCATAGTTATTTAATGATTTTAAAATTAAATTATAAGGAATGACTCTAATTCTTGGCCAAATTATTCGAGTATAACCTGGTTTGGGTCTGTTTACGCTGTTTTATAATCCGCTTCGCGGATTATAAAGCGTAAACTGACCCACACCAGGTTATACTCGAATAATTTGGCCAAGAATTAGAGTCATTCCTAAAATAGACTGAAATTAATTTCTGTACATGTATAACCTTACAAAGTTAAAAAAGTAAAAAAGTTAAAATAACTCTTTCTCTTTTTCTTTATCTTACGCAGGATAAAATGTGCAGCTTGACGGCAAAGCTATCACTAACTTTTGAGATATGACGTTGAGTTAGTCTTCATTCATTTATTTGAGTGCAGGCGATTCTTTAAGTATAAATGAGCATTCCAAATAAAAGGTTTTAAAAAGTCCTGTAAATTCTTTTGGGAAAATGAACATACGAACTTTGTACTGCATGAATAGCCAACCGTAGTGCGATTTTACTCATGCAAAATATAAATTTTACCTATCCAATGATTTTACCAGGTTCACCAAATCCCTGTTTGTACTCGACCCAAGTCCTGTAGAAATCAGTTGAGTTGTCTTGTCGCTGTTGAATAACCTGAAAATAATTGTATTTTAATTAATACCATTGATAAAGCCATTATACATCATACTATGCGTCAAACTATTTTTTAAGCATATTCACATTACTTTGATTTTTTGAACCAAAGTAAAAGAAGCAATAAAACAAATTCCAAATTCAGATTGCGTGTTATAAGACGATAATTTTGATACCCATCATGAAATTAAAAGAATCAAAAGTAATGTGAATATGCTTGAAAAACAGTTTGAAGCATAGTTTGTTTTACCCGAAGACTGTTTATGTGGAAGTACAGGGATGAATTGAATTAAATAAAATTTATTGATAAATTTGAATAAAATGAATTGATAAAATAAATAAATAGATATATAATTGATTAATAATTGAATATAGCAAATATAAAAAAATACAGAAATAAATAAATAAATAAATAAATATATATATATATATATATATATATTTACATGCCATTCATGATACACAAGACGCAATAATTGGTAATTAATGCTTTTCAAAATAACTGGCATTTATTCTCCTTAAGATTTATCTGAAAGGCTACATGTACCAAGCTAAAACAATCAATACAATCATATTAAGTAAGAATTGTCTAAAGATATTTCAAACAAATAACTAATAGATAATCTATATTTTCACAAAAAATTGAGAATTGCCAAGAGTTTGGTATTTCTCACAAGTAAATAGCAAAAAGAACATATTTTAACCATTCTTCTGGGTCAAAATGGATGTCAGGGGACGTCAGGGGGTGAAAAGGGAAATCAGGGACTTAGTCAGGAGACATCTGGGCGAAAATGTAAGGGGACGGGGGGGGGGGGTTTACAAAGGTAACAGGGGCAAAGTCAGGGGCCGTCAGTGAGTAGTTAATGTAGTCAGGGACAACGACAGGAGATCATAGTAGAAAGTCAGGGGGAAACAGGAATATTTCAGGGACTGACATGGGGACGTCAGGGTTTTTTTTTTATCTAAGAGGAAAATCATTACAATAGACAGTGTGAGAAGATATATAACAAAACTACTCACCGTCCACCATCCGTCCTCTGTTGTCACATCTCCCGGGTAACCATCTGGGTAGATAACAAAACTACTCACAGTTCGCCCATCCGTCCTCTGTTGTCAAATCACAAAAATAGAATCTTTATTTAATCCTCTTGACAGATAATAAAACTACTCACCATCAACCCTCCTCTTTCTCTGTTGTCATGCCACAGAAAACAAATTCCCAAGTAATCATCTTGGGAGATAACAAAAGTACTCACATTCTGCCGTCTTCTGTTGTCATGTGACAGAAAAAAAGGAATTCCGACTGATTAGATAACAAAACTATTCACCTTCTACCCTCCGTCCTCTGTTGTCATATCACGGAAAACAGAAATCCCGTAACCGTTTGGGTAGCTAATAAAACTACTCACCGTCCATCCTCCGCCATCTGTTGTCATATCGCAAAAAGCAGACTAACTATCGAACTTATTCCTGTAAAATTCTTCTTACAGGGTAATTTGAATAATGACCTTTTATCATTGAAAGAAAATCAATGAATCTCTTTTAAAATGAGCATTAAAACTTAAATATTTTCTACATCTACATGTCTACATCTACATAATACAGCGTTCCATCAAACCTGATGATTATACGCTGGCCCTGCGCAAACGGACCTCTTCTCTGCACAGGAAAAAAAACCTGCCGGTCCGTTCACGCAGGCGCATCTGTAGAGTATTGTAAACTTAGACAATAATATTCAGAGAAATACAAGCGTTGTGAATTCAAATAAAACTGTTTACACTATTTGAGGCTTGTAAAATCTTGATTTTGTATAGCAATTCTCTGGATTTACATAATACCTGTAATGGACTTTTTCCTCAAATTTCCCTTTCGATACCAGTATTCTTTAAAAATTAGACTTAAATATTGACATTATCATGATTATTATATTGAAATTATGGCCATATGTTATCGTTACATTGTGGTTTATATTTTTATTACAAACTGAATAGAAAAAAAAAAAAAACACTACTTACTTAGGAGTTTATGAGAAGTTGTGCACCGTTACTAAGGCTTGGAAATGCTTCTGTGTAAAGATTTCCTGAATAAAAAGTTTTCCTAGAATAGTCATTTTTCATCTATCATCAATCCAAAACTGTTTTAAAATTTTCAAGACTTTTTACTCCAAAGCGATTTCTTTTCTAAACTTGCCCTGAACATATGTTCAATCCCATACTAGTATGCGTTTCTAAAATCTAGAAAAATTTAAAAAAAAGAAAAAAAAAAGGAAAAAAAAAGAGTCTGAACATTTTTATTACTTTCAAATGCATATCTAGATATTTTTAAAGACCTTGAAACACAGATTGTTAAAAATGTCAACAGTCGAATAAAGAATATCTAAATCATCTTACTTAATGACTTTTTCTCATTGTTATCGCTGCACGTACAAAAAAAATAATAATACTATGAAAGATGTTATGACAGCGGAAATATCATTCCTCATAACATATGAAAAAGGAACTTACATTGAAAGCATACACGTCTAAGCTTTTTTCTAGAGAACATTTTTGAAATATCACGATTTTTAGGGTAATCTGAGAGAAAGAGTCAGTGATGGTTAGAACGATGCTGTTAACATTTTTAAAAAGTATGTATGTAAGACCTCAAAGTCCATTGGTAACGCAGACGTCAGATGGTCCGATACATTTAATGGTGCGGGGGAAAACAACGTTTATGACGTTACAATATTCCAACGTCAATCCCAGCGTCCTTGTCCGTTTTTTAGAATTGATCAGATTTGGATAGTGTGATAAGACTTATCGGCTGATTCGGGATAGTCTCGCATACCACTCAACTTATTTGGGTAAGTGTTTTCATACTATTGACTGATTTGGGTGAAGATTACACACAACCGAGAGATTAAGGTTAGATCTCCCACTCTTTTCGAATGATTAGGTTTATTTTAGTACTCACTCGGGAGATTATTAAGGTAAATTTTGCATAATATAAGACTGATTAGGGTTTGTCAGGGACCTAATTTTAAAAGTTAAGTTACTTCTCGCACACTATATGACTAATTAGGGTCAATTTTGCTCTAACTATAGCGTTTAGGGTTAGTCCTCATACATTATTTGACTAGCATAAAAGAGTTAGCCTGGCACCCACTTGAGAGGTGGGCTAGTGTACTATAACAAGCATTCTGAGAGTATTGCATTAGCAATACTAGTCCCCTACCGGCAAGTGTAATCTGGTTCCCGTTTAAAATTGAAAATGCCATAATTCCGTCAGAAATCAATGAAGCGGAACGAAATGCAAACTTGATCTATAACTCATCAAGGTAAAGCAACATACCAAAAATCAGCTCAATATCTGCAAGCGTTTAGAAAAAAAATGCGGAAAACCCTGAAAAGTTGAAAAGGTCGTAATTCCGTCAAAAATCATTGAAGCGGAACGAAATGCAAACTTGGTCTGTAACTTATCAAGATACACCCACATACCAAAAATCAGCTCAATATCTGCAAGCGTTTAGAAAACAAGTGCGGAAAACCAAGTGGGACAGATGGACAGACAGACAGAGGGACAGACAGACAGACAGCTAGACAAACAGGCAGACAGACAGACGGACGGACAGACTCAGAGGAAACCTATAATCCCCTCCGGTTTTCACCGGTAGGGGACTAATAACGGACGCGTTCTACATATTTTCAGACATATTTATACAAAACTATCGAACTTTTGCAGTGGGTAACAGTAAAAAAGTCCATTAGAACAATACAATTTTGGAGCAGAGCAAACACGAACCTCTAAAAACTTCATAGGTGCAATTAGGTGCCATGGAGGAGTAAGCACCCTCTGTCGACCGGTCACACCCACCGTGTGTTCCTTGTCATGATCGGGCATGAAATGAAATGAATGCATTGATATTTTACATCACACTCCCTATCGCGCAAGAAGACCCCTATTGATTTTGAGGTCAAAAAGTCAAAGGTCAAGGCCGCAGATTCATACACTCTGTCTGTGTGTACACTTTCGTTTCGGGGCGATATCTCAAAGTAACTTAGCTTTTGCAATGAAATTTGATACCATAAGTTCCTTATGGCCCCACCAGCCCCTCTCAAAGTGTCCCATCCCGTTGTTTTTTTTGTTTTTTTTTTATTTTGGTCATTATATTTTTTTCAATTAAAAGTCAATTAAAAATTTGATAGCATCGATCATGCTCAAAGATTTAGAGTTACTCTCCGTTTGTATTAAAAGTTGCGTGGCACTATTTTTAGCAAAGGAGCACGTGGAGAATTGTTACGTTTAATAGAAGTTGTCGGCGTACTTTAAACAATTTTATTGTAAATATATTAGAACTGTTAACGAGGTTGGATCCTGATATTTAAAGTCTTAACCTTTTTTTGTCAAGTATATTTTTAGTTTCTACACACATAGCTTAATTAAAAATCAAAACAAAAAATGGGGGTCAATATTCTTCTTTTGGCGCTACAGTACATTTAATATGACCTTTTTGCACTGAAATTTGTGTCTTAATCAAAAATCACATCTTCGACGTTTTCCCTCCAAAGTTTTTATCCAAATAAATCATGGGACAAAATAAACTGTTCGTCTATTTAAAAAAGACACATTAAAGTTGTGACTAATAAAAAGTTTCAAATTGCTTCGCATAATCAATTATTTGACCTTTCTGCACACACAAAATGTGGTTTTTCTTGTATTTAAAATTTAACCAGCAAGAAAATTATTTTAAAGTCTTAAACTTTTGTTGAATTTCAGCAGATTGATCAAAGTTATCTTATATATTCAGAAAAGAAAAACAAAAGTGGGGGGTCTATGACCTAAATTTTTAGATATTGCTAAAAAAAAGTGTTAATTTTATGTTAAAATTGCCTCAATTTTTTCCTGGACTTTCAGAATATATTTACTATATTTGTCAGAATATAATGAAAAAATTCATAAGAAATAATTTAATAGATATTTCAGAACCAGCATGAAACATTTTACTGCAAAATACAGCTCTGTTTGCAACCAGCATGGAAAAATAGGAATCTAAACTTTTCAGTACTGTATACTAGTATATTTCAAAAGGGAAAAATTGATCATTTTCTTCTAAAAAACCTTCCGCCACAAAATATAGTTCCTGGCTTAATCCTATTTGAATGGAATTTAATCGCAGTTTTTTCATTGGATATAGTTTAATTTGCATTGTAGAATCCAGATTTAATGTTAGAACTTAAAAATGATGCAGAATTTTAGCAATAAAGGTCCAGACCAAAATCTGCTCAAAAGCTCAGGATCGAACCTCCTTAATTAAAGGCTTAATTAGATTCTATGTGTCGAAATTGTCAAGAACGAAAATCGGACGTTATTAAGACAGTGGAAAATCAGTTATATTTTCAGATAAAGGACAAGCATTTATTGGTCAGACGAAAAATATATAAGGTCAACGAGAAGTGTTGACTAACAAGTAAAGCACCAATATATGCATAACGTATTTGGATCCGCGCCCAATTTTATACAAGCAGTTATGACGTTTGGCGTGTACACGGGTCATGTCGTAAAATAATTAACCTAACAAACAAAGACATTTTGTCACCTGAGACAAGTACATATCGATCGTATAACCTATCTAATTCTTTTTTCACTTCTGAATTATTGATGACAAAAGGAAAGATGGTTTTCATATTGCCCCTCAACGGTTTAATACAAGATTTCAACATCCATTCCATAACTTTTTATCCATTCTGACAAAGTGTCAAGGTCTTCTTTTTCATGTTTGGCCAATCGCCTGGCGTAATCTTCCACAAAAATCATAATACTTATGAAATTTTAACTCCAGTTGAAAGATCGGGGTTCCCTAAATTTTGACCCTTCTAAATTAAGTGATTTAAGATCTTTATTATTAAGTATATTTACATCGCCAGCAATAACGTGTCCAGCAGGACTTTAATTGTAGTGTGATGAAGAACATGTCATTGAACAAATAGGAGGATTATGTTTCAGATGTTTGATATCTAGGCACTGAAGAGTTTTTTTTTTTAATTAAAGTTTTGGAAGCAATAGTTGATGAATATTTGTAAGAAATACAAAGTGTGGACTTCAACTTGAAATATGATGGAATTCAAGACGTCACCCTTTTTTGATTAAGAATATTCCTGGTATTTACTGCGTCAATTCCTTGTTAGCAATTTTAGTTTAATAAATAGTACCCGAAATCAAAAGTTAACATTAAGAAAAAGGAATTCTTCGGGCAAAATATTCTATGATATATCCCGTGTCTTGATCATAATTTTTGAACTGAAATGAGTTTGGAATTCATACGAGGATCAAAAATCCTAGTCCTGACCTAACATTAGATAGCCAAATAGTCTTAAATTTTATATGATCTTTATTCTTGGTTAACACAATCTATGGTTATGTTTAATTCTCGTGGCATGATCAGGAACAAACAGTTGACAAACTGCCTCAAAGACAAACGTTAGCTGTTATATCAATTATAAAATCTCTTGTAAATTTGTGTATTACTAGTATATAAGTAGGATGTCTGAATAAACAAATAAAATGGGATAAAGATTTGTACTGGCAAGATTTAAGGTATGTGTTTCCTGTTGGTATCTGAAATTTATGTCTTGATTGTAATTTTTATCTTCGTCGTTTTGATCGCTACTCCCTTATCAAAAGACACTGTAAAGAAACCAGGGTTTTGTGACAAATATTATATCAGTTGTTTGTGAACGGACACATTTTTACCATGCTATGATTTGGGTCCAGGAAACAAGAAGGTAAGGTTTAAAATGGCAGTATTGTTCAGCTGGAAGAAAAATATTAATTTTAAAACAGGGGGAAAAAAGATAATGTGGTTAATGGTTAAGAAACAATAAATTCGTTACGTTATAGCCATATATGCACATTCACTAATTTTCCCCCAATTAAAAAAATAACATTGAATCTAAAGAACCCTCCATAGAATACACTGCTCACTAAAGAAATGTAAAGATAACAGTGACCATGCCCAAAAGCCCAATGACACAACAGAAATTATAAGCAGAGCAAACGCGGACCTCTGAAAGACCTGGAACTTTCACTCCAAGTGCCGAGCGCTATGCGAAGGAAAAGAGTTGCTACGTATTTTTACTATCGACTTAGTCGCGGCCGAGGTTTGAACTCACGACCTTACGATCACGGAGCGAACGCTCTACGGACTGAGCAACAGTGACGGTTATTCAGTATGTTTTGTTTGAAAGATATCAGTCAACATTTGTAAACAAGGTCATTGTATCGATCCTAGAATTTGCGAAATGGTGACTATAAAGAAGACTTTAGATAACCTTGTATCATCAGTCTATTTGCTAGTAGTCTGTCACGCTTTCCAATTGCTGGTAAATAGAACATGCACTTGCGTATCAAATTAACTGCAAGACATACACCCCATATGCGTGTGATAATGGTATATCAAATAACGCCTGCTATGCCCTACATAAATAAGAGAAATTGCAGTTGAAGTCATGATGTTTATCATAAAGTTTAACTGTTAGTTTGCGATCAATGCCTTTCTCTAGTAGAATATTCAAATATGAAGCTTATATATTCGGATTCTCTGATATTTTTATGCAGTTATAGTAATCCGCCTCTATCTTTAAAATCAGATAAATAGAAATATACTATGTGTTACTTACTTAAATTGTAATAGGTTAAACCATTTTGATTAGGTCAAGATAAATTAAATGAAAAAATTATTTGCATGTATTTTCCCAACTTAAAATTTTTCCTGGGAGTAAATGGCTGGTACCTTATGTTGAAAATGAAATAGATAAGCTTAATGTTTTCACCTTTACTGAATATGATTTTTCTCAATGTCAAAAATCCATTTAGTGTATAGTGTCCTAAAATGTATATGGAAAATAAAACCATTTTACCTCATTTTCTTGAAAAAGAAATATTGAAGTTAATATCGTTAATGATTAAAATTGATTACTGATGGTCATGCATCACTTAAACCCTACCTTCAGGTATATATCCGATGTTCATGAATATTCATTATATTCCTATGTTTTGGGTATGATATTATAGGCAATAAACATGCAAGTTCAAGAACAGGAAATCGCTAGTGAAGAAAGTCTTTAGATTAAATAGATAAATAAACATAAAATAAATATATTAAATAAAATAATGTGAAATAATACGAATAAAAAAATAGATGATATTTGGTGTCAAACTTCGCAGAAACATGATTATAAACTGTTTGAATACTGACAGAAGCTATACGTTTTAATGATAGAAGTCCTCTTTAGTTTATGAAGATAACTAAAATAACCATAACCTAAGTATATGAAATAGTTATCAAATTGATAAAATTGTTTACTGTCTTTGCCCCTTCTTTATATTACTATATGAAATACTCACTAATATTTTTCTAACTAACATGAGTTTTCATTTTTCCATGTAATCAGTAAACAAATACACAAAGTTTACTTTATACCTGAAAAACTAACATGTAGCCTAGAAAGATTTTACTCTAGGTCAGATGTGCATACACAAGCTGTGTCTGAGGACCAGTGTATCAGTAAAAAAGGAATTGTCATATAAGAGACAACAAAATCCTTAAGCGGATTTGGCAAGGTAAACAAATATTGTACTATCCCAGGATTATCAAAAATTGGTATGTTATATCTTGCGTGAAGACATCTTTGGTTTTATCAATAAGCCATTTCCTGTCCGTTTTCGTTGACTCTGATGTTTTATTTACGTAGTTTCATAGCTGAGATTTTTTTAATAATATAATCATAATGTAATCCAAATTGGATGTGCTGACAATGTTTAAATATTTTTTTCTTCGCGGCTTATTAAGCCCCATTCTTTTCAACGATTACAAAACATTACAATAAAGGAAGCAATTATCCATGCAGCGGACAATGTCCGATGCATGGTTAATTTGTGTCCGATGTCTGGTGAAATGAACATACTAGTAAAATACAGCTCTAAGAAAATGAACACAAACTTTTAAATGATATTATTGAAATTTTCTTATAATTATCAATAATAAACAATATTCAACCAAGACAGACTCGTTCCCTTGAAGTCTAATAAAGGAAAGACAACTCTACAAAATTGCAAAATCACAAAATTCTGGTTACTCCACTATATAGCATGCATATCATAGTTATTAAATTTAGTTAATAATCCACATTAGATAGAGATGTTATCCAAATCATTTACTTTCTTAAAACTGAAATTTGTGTTGTTACTATCTATTGTGTCTAACTGCAAATTAGCGAGGGTTCATTAAAGAAATTCTCGTTTGTTTTAATTTCTGAGGATTTAAAGCTTAAGTAAGAAGCTTTTTGGCTATAAGTAAATATATTTGTCAAATGAAAAAAAAATTTCGTTGAAAAAATCAGCAAGGCAATATGTTGTTTAATGATGTATAAGTACTTTTAAATAACTTTCTTCATTGAAAAATGCAGGGAAATGAAAAAATACGCTTTCAACGGTATGTTTGATTTTTAAAGGAAACTAACAGATATCTCCAAAAATGGAAAATGGAAAAATGCTCTTTTTGTTGATACTGATGATATACTTACCACAGACGTATGGTTGGGGTAAGTAGAAATTTGTTTTGATTTATAAGGAAAAAAATACGATTACACTCTACAAAAGTGATTGAAAACATGAATTGTATTTCGAAAAGCTAAGCTTGTACTACTCTTGAATTCTAAATCTGTACTACCCCTATAAATATAGTACTCTTAAAATATATTTCTTGCTGTACGTTTTCTTGATTTCTTTACCCTGTATACGCTTAACAAATTCAAGCAATCTTAACTATAGAAAATGACACATTAAGTACAGTAACAGATCTAGATGCTATAAAAACAAGATTCCTTTTTTATAAATCAATGTTTTCAATGCAAAGTTTTTGTATTGTATTTGTGTAACATTAGCACGGGAAGGTTCGGTACGGCTTGTGGGTGGACACTCTCGCCTGGAGGGCAGAGTGGAGATATATCATAATGGGCAATGGGGAACAGTATGTGATGATCATTGGACACAGACTGAAGCTCGAGTTATCTGCAGAATGGTTGGATATTCGAGGTAAGGGTTTACTTATTCACTGTATTAAAACATCGAAACTGTCACAAGCCTAAATTATTTTAACTTTGTTCTACATGTACTTTTGAAGAGAAAATTGATGTAATCACTTTTGATTATTAATGATATAAATGAACTTTTTATCTTACGAAATTACTTTATCCTGCGTTATATAATGATTAATGTTTTGAACACGGAAAAAATAACATCATATAAAATATATAGTAATTTGTATCATTATTTTCCATCAATTATTTTTTTCTGTAGTTACAAAGGTATAGCCAAGAGTGCAGCTTTTTTTGGAGAGGGTTCTGGACCTATTTGGCTCGACGATGTGAATTGTTATGGATATGAGACCAGTTTATCTCGGTGTAGAAATATTGGTTGGGGAAAACACAATTGTCATCACAGAGAAGATGCTGGGGTAGTGTGTATAGGTAAACTAAATATTATTGGCAATTACTCTTACATATAGTGACAAAGTTCATTCCAAATAAATAAAGAAATTATAAGATGATAAGTTTCGAAATGGTCTTCTTTGTTGCCACATTTACTGTGAAGTGACTTTAAAAATCAGATGATATTCTAAATGACATTCAGTCAACTACTCAATTCTTAGGTAAATTCTTAGAACTGGACTAACAAAATTACTAATGTACACTTTGATATGTACACTTTCATAAATACCATAGATAAAATATGTACAGTTTCTAAAAGCAAAACTACATGATTCTTTTGAAGCACTGAAATATTATCTCTGTGAGAAAACTTAAAAAAGAAACTTTTTAAAATATTGTTTAAACGTTGATACTTTTATGCTACACAGATTGTTGATCATATATTTCTAATTACTGTATGTGTACTTAAAAAAGCTGGCCCTTATTTTAGCGGCTTTGGCGCAGACAACGATGCGCTAATTCATAAATACCGCTAAGAAATCATTTATAAATACAATATACGGCACGGACATGTATAGCGCTAATTCATGATTTCGCCAACAACTCCATAGCCATTGATGGCGCTAAATTTTAAATATACCAATTTATGTACACTTTATCAAAACAATACATTCTGATAATCCTTAAGTAATAAACAATTTGAGAGATATTACTTGCTTTTGTTTGTAAAAAATAAATAATGCGTAAAGCTTGTTTAAAGGACAGCCATTCATTCATTCATTCATATTTTATTTCCTCTATAAAGAGATACAGAATTAAGCTAATTAACACGTTAATTTATGTATAATTCAAATAAATATTTTCAAGTAAGTTATAAACAGAAAGTGAAAGATTGTTTACAATAATGTCACACTTGTTCTGCACGATTTTATTTGTGCGAGAGCGCTGCACATAGCCGTTGGTATTGTGCACATGCACGAACTAACAGTTTTGAGTTCAGAATCTTGAAGTCTCTTTCCTGAGATAAGGGTAATAGGGTTTGAGGTTCGCGCCCCAGGACAATCAGAAAATAGAGACCATAGACTTCAGCTCTTTTTCAGTAGATGATTTTTATTACTGATTTATATTGAGGAATTATATAAATTTTAAAAATCTAAATTTTACGATAATTTTTAAAAATGTTTATATATTTAAGGTTCGTTGCCATGAAACCACAAAGATAAGTTTAAGTAGGAATGATTAAGGCAAGTTTATATATGAAGTTTCAGGAAAATCCATTTGCATGAAAGAATTAAACAGAAACTGGCTCTTTATTCTTTTTATACTTTCATCAATCAATATGATTAAAGCAATACTGTATTAGATGTTTTCTATTTATAAGACTTTCATTCTTCACTTTCGCTCACAGCGAACGCATTCAAAACTTCTATGCTGCAGCTTCAACTTTTCATTTACAATATCCTAAAATTTCTCATTTGTATCTTCAAAATTTGCTATAATATGTAGTAGAAATACATGTTATAGCATGAATATAAGTTAAAGCTAAGCTAAGGCCTTTCTATGCGAATGAGGTTATGAAAACGCATAAGAAGCATATCCTTTATAAAAAGAAAGTTTAAGTTCATTTTCTTTTACATACTTAGAACCCACAACATGTTATAGCCAGAAACATTATGTTTTATTACCTCGAGTAGTAAAGAAAAATGGCGTCATTCTATGACGCCATTTTTCTTTACTACTCGAGGTAATAAAACACACCAAAAAACACACCAACAAAACAGTTCTGGTGTAATGGCATAATTCATTTATATTTGCATAAATAATGTGTAATGCTAAGAAGAATATTCTAAGGAGTAATTAAATAGCTGCAGAAATCCTATGGACTTTTTCATTTGATGAGTTTGAGTTTGGAGTTACGTGCATCAAACTGTGAAATTTTTTCCTTGCTTTAACTCTTTACTTTTAAGTAATTGGATTAAAATTTAAACACGTGCGACTTTACCAAGTATTTTATATATTTGGTAAGTAAATGTCTACATTTCACGACATCAGCAGTACTTTTCATGTAAAGGTCATAAAGGTGATAACTTTTCAAGATATTCTTAATTTTGAATCATATTACCATCAGACGTTTGAAAAAAAAATCAGCATACCTTACTAGGGGTTTTAAAGAGATATCAGATGTTAAAAATCCTTGTGTTATTCGATATATAGAGACGTCACCATATACCGTAGAAGACCTTTACTCGGTACTCAGGGCATTGAGCAGTGAGGGTTCTTAATCATGCCAACACCTACCGTGACACCTACCGTGACACGGGGCCTCGGTTTTTAAGGTCTCATCCGAAAGACCCGCAACTTTCCCTTCAAAGTTCCTAGCGCTTGACGATGGAACAGTTGCTACCTATATTTTTATCGACTTAGGTCAGTCACGGCCGTTATTCGAACACACGACCTTCCGGTCACTGAGCGAGACAAAAAATGAGAGAGACAAAAATGAATGCAATGGTGAGTTTTGATGTAGTTTTAAATTTATATCTTAGAATCACAAATTAGATTTCTGGTTGTGTGGGGAATTGCTATTTTTGTGTCAAAGTTACCATTCCCATATAAACTAGGTCCAGTTCCTTTTATGTAGCCTTAACAGTGCTGCATAAAAATGAACAATATTATCAATACTATCAATACTATGAATTCTCGGAATTACAGACGTAATGAGCTACAGAATATTCTAGAAGTGGTGTAGATCAGATTTGGATTCTCATAAATTCCAAAGAATTCTAGAAAATTTAAAATCATCAATTTTTTCCAAAGTCAATAACAACAAATGATTTTTTTTTTACACTTTATACAACCCTTCTTTATAATAAATTAAAAACTAGGCTTTTTGACATCATCGACAACTGCTTCTTCAATTAGAAAGGAACATGGAAAATTTCTTATCTTGTGATTGGTCATCAACAAAATGACAGTTAAAAATCACCCTGATTCCACACACAAGCACTCTGAAGTTGATATTCATGCTAGAGTTTCTTATTGACAACATGTATGTAGTCTTCGGAGACCAGGTCTTCAAAGAAACTGTTGAAATTTTGATGGGCCCTAATTGTGCTTCTTTGCTAGCCGACCTGTTTTATAATCCTATGTAGCAGAATTTATTAAAAAAAAAAAAACCGTTCTACATGAGTAGTGGAAGACACTTGTTGTAGTCTTCAACTCGACATCAGATGCATCGACGGCTTTTTATGAATTAACAATAGTTACTTCCATTCATATGTCAACTCGATATATCCAAGTGAACTTGAAATAAAAGACACCGCAGAGTCTACCACATCTTTTTCATATTCGGATGTTTTATTTTTACAAAAGACGATAAAAGCCAACTAACCACTAAATTGTATAAAAACATAGGACTTCACCCTTCCAATCGTCAACTTTCCATATTTATGATGTTATATTCCGTTATCACCTGCAAATGGGGTTTACGTCTCTCAACATATTCTATACTCAAGAGCATGCCTTGAGAACAATCAAGTTTTAAAACGATGCAGGCTACTGACAGATAAGTTGATATTTCAGGGATTCATGATTATTTTGTAAATTCTATGGTAGTTATAATCAACTTTAAAGCAAATATGGTAAACTATGGTAATCTATCATTGTTTTTTTTTTCTTTTGAGATATTTCACACCAATTGTCAGGCATTTGTTTTTATACTAAATTTTGACTACGGAAACTTCCGTCTACCTGATCAAAACATAGAACTCAAGGCGGGTGTGAAAAATCGACAGAAATGCTCACTCCTCCTTGGCAGCTCGTTCGTCCTCTGGCGTGTGCACGGGTTTCGGTTTTATGCCATGTTAACAAAGTTGTATTGTTTGTGGGGCTTTTTTTTTAAAGATCGATCAGTCTTCGTTATTTTCACCTAGTTCATTATAATCAAAAAGTTTTAAACGACTCATATCTAGCACCGTTACCTTGCTTAGAGACATTTTAAAACATGGATTTAAATCCCTTTCATTTTAGAAAACATACTGATATTTTAAGTTATTGTAATAAACTTTAACACAGCAAGATCATTGTTTGGTACAGTCTTGAAAATCTTCCCTTTTTAGGAATTCGGCATTTGAAAATGTTAACTCTACGCAAATTGTATTACAGCAGATAAATTTCTAATTTGTGCTATAGAAAGAGAATGCGCTAGAAGACCCTGCCAGAATTATGGAACATGCAATGAAAATTCTGATAGTTTTACCTGCTCATGTAGAAGTGGATTTGCTGGAAGATTGTGTCAAACAGGTAAACAGAAACAATTTCAATATTAAAGTTACAGAAAGTGTACTTTATGAAGTACAATGTAGAATAGCCCTATATATGAACTTTTCAATCTTTCTTGATTTTCTTTCATTTTCTTTGTCATTAAGATATCAATGAATGTGCCAGCAGACCATGTCAGAACCAAGGAGTATGTCAAGACCATGTCAATGGATTTACCTGTGCATGTACTAATGGGTATACTGGAAAGTTGTGTCAGACGGGTACAGTGCACTCTATCTAAAAAAATGATATGCAGAGGCAAAACAGTCAAAATAATTTCTTGAAGAAATGACCCAATATACATAAAGCATACTTCACATAATTTTTAAGTTTTATCTCTTTATATATATATATATATATATATATATATATATATATATATATATATATATATATATATATATATATATATATATATATATATATATATATATATATTTATCATTGAATACATATTAACATGGCCTTCTGTACACTTTAGATATCGATGAATGCCAGAGTTTTCCATGTCAAAACAATGCGACCTGTAGAAATAATGTAAATAATTTTACATGTTCATGTCTTGCTGGATTTACCGATGCTTTATGTCAAACAGGTATTCAATAATTGTCTCTGATAAGTGGTTTTTTGTTTGTTAAACGTCCCTTCGTGCATTCATCATCCACATTGAGACGCCACCACTTTCCGGTGGAGGGCTGCAAATTTAGACCTATACTCGGCACTTACGACATTGAGCGGTGAGGGATCTTTTTCGTTCCAGCACCTCCTGCCTAAGAAGGCCTCGATTTATAGGTTTCATCCAAAGTCCACGTCCCACAATGGGATTCGAACACATGACGTAAGGATCACGCCTTACTATTTCAAATCCAGAGCAAACGCTCTAACTATTGCGCCACGCGGGCGACGTCTCTGATAAGCAGAGAAGAACAAAAATGTACTCTCAATAAGAACTGACTAAAAGGTTTTAACTTATCACACAGTTAAGATCACAATCACGATATTCACAAGCATCACTTGATTTGGTTGAAATAGGATTATACATTTAAAACTATGTTCACAGGCAAAATGAGTTTTATTTGACCGGAGAACAAAACCAACTGTCTTATTTGGTTCGAGGGTTCGACAAAGTGTATTCTGCCCGAAAATCTAATCAATGAATCGTTTGTTATACATTTTTCTATTATTCCATAACTGACAAATACAATAAAAGAAATGAAATTTGATTTAGCGTATTGATTCGCATGGGGTGATAAATATGAAAAAATCATATCTTTAGTATACTAGTGAAATAGGCGTTTCGTAAGAGGACGTTTTTTCTTCAAGATCCTGGATAGAACAAAACTACGGTGAAAGACGCTATCACCACAGACTGTCCAAAAATATTGCCTATTTAGTTGAATAAAGTGAGACTGTTGTTTATTAATACAATATTCATAGGTTCCAGTGTGTCAGTATGTGTGTGCAAGATTTGTCCCTCGCCTGTTTTTGTAGGTATAAATGGGAAATCGAGTATGTACATTTGTGCAAAAAGCTAATAAAAATGGGGGTTTCCGATTTTTTCATCAAAGATGAAACGTGACTTTGCTTTAGACACTTTAACGTTATCATCCGTGCGCATAACTTCATTCTCATATTTTGTTCATTTGAACATAAATCTATTTGAGATTTTTTCTGTATATTGATGACAAAATGTAACTGAAGAGAAATAAAATTTTATCGGTTTTGATATTTTTTTTCTCGCTACACGACCTTTTCACGATTTTAATAAGACAAAGCCTGGTATTTTAGTCTAGATTTATTTAGGAAACGCTTTTTTAAAGAAGTCAATGAAATGCACTAAAATCTCATCTTACATTTTAAAGCAATAACTTTAAAGTATATTTTGAACTGATTTTTTTTATTTATTACAAAATATAAGTGGATAAACTCGCTTTGAAAAGTGTTCAAGTCATCAAAATATTATGAATTGTAGCAGTACTTAACAAATAACATCAAAAATAGAGAAAAATAGTAGAAATGGTTTTGTCTTGAATTAATCAACTTAAACTTCTCCTTTGGATCATTAGATATCGACGACTGCTCTGGTAACCTCTGCAAAAATAATGCTTCATGTATAGATGGTATAAACCAGTTTCAGTGTGCTTGTCTTCCTGGATTTACGGGTAACCTATGTGAACGAGGTAATTTAGTATTCATAATTGTATAAGATATAGGGATGAGTGCTGAAAAAATCTCAATATAGGATTCCACAATCAAAATACTATTATTCATCATCGAAATCAAATAGATTTGAAAAATGTTCTGATTAAAAAAAAGGATCCCCCGGCCACAAAATTACGTCTTTTCGAAATTTCTTCACATTGCTTACAGGAAATGAAAGAATAGTAAACACAGTCCATGTTTGTTCCTTTATCAAAATAAAATGACGTTTTAAACATCCTCCCGGATTCACGGATAACCTATGTAAACGAGGTAATTAAGTACTCATATTTTCTTTCTTTGCTGTTTAACATTCCTCTCGAGAATTTTTTTCACTCACAGAGACATCACCACCTAAAGGCTGCAAATTTAGACCTATACTCGACACTCAGGGCTATTGAGCAGTGACGGATCTTTTTCGTGCCAGCAGCTACTGCGACACAGGCCTCAGTTTATACGGTCTCACTCAGGACCGATCTCATGTCCCGCAGTGGGATTCGAACCTACGTCCTAAGGATTTACTCCCTGCATAGCGACTCTAGAGCAAACGCTCTAACTACCGCGCCACGCGGCCGATATTAGGTATTTATAATTAGAATATAAGGATGAGTAAAAAGATATAAAGTCGAAATATAAGAGACCACAAATTAAATACTCTTATTCGTCTTCGAAATCAAATAGATTTGCAGACTTTTCTAAAAATGTGATCGGGGTAACTATGATTATATACAGTGGATGTCGTTCTTGAATTTAAGGTATGCCACTCGTCAGATTTTGAGAAAAGTTTTGTCAGAACCTCTAACTTAAAAATTATCTACTACATTTTAATGGTTATGACATATTTGTATTCAGCAATGCAACATGCAACATTTCACTAAAAAACCACCCAAACAATTTTAAGAAACAAGATTTACGGACGTAATTCTTATTGGAAGGATATTTAGAAGAAAATTGTTCAAATCTACATATTTGTTTGTTTTCATATCTAGTAGGAACTTTGGCAATACATATTTTATCTCGGAGAATTTTTTTGTTATTTTATGCTCGGGATATTAAATATAGGCTTCAAATGATACTTTGAAAACAAATTTTACACATTCACTCAACAGTTTTCGCCAAATATTGAAGTTATATTTAAGAATTCAAGATAATTTTTAAAATTATTTTCGCTTGAAAATCGCGTATTTTTGTCAAGATCTCACAATTTACATCACTGACCCCAGATTTTCTTTCATTATCTTAAATTACACCATACATTTAACCGATCAATACTAAAGTCATAATAAGCTTGATACAAGAGAATATATTATTGCCCATCTAGATTTTTAATACCCCAAATATGATAATTTTTTGGCGCAGAAAGGTCCCACAATACTAAACGTGGATTAATTTTCAATATTGTTTCAATATTAAATGTTACTCAAACAATTCTACATAAAATAAGGTAATATTTATTGCTATGATTACATTTGTTAAATATGATAAAGGTTAAAGTGATTAAACTAAAAGTTAAAATTTAAGTGCAAAAAGGTCAAGTTAATTGTACCGTTGCTCGGTAAGATACACACTGACCCTCAATTTTCTTTGCCATTTTGAGTCATGCTACATGAGTAGTTATTAAAAAATTCTTCTCAAAAATCCTTGATATAACATATCACGAGTGACATACATGTGCCGTAGTAGAACATTTTAATAGCTTAGATTCGAATTTGTTCTTCCCAATGTCCTCGGATTTGGGTAATTAAGAGGCACTTTCGGTATCAGTGTGTTTTAAAAGCAATGGAAATTCTCTGATTCCAAATTAAAAGACATACGTCTTAAAAAATTGTCATTTAAGGCTCTTTCATATATATTTTCATGCATGTATATGTTATACCAATTATCAGTGAAAAAAAAAAATTGCAATGTTTGCTGAATTCATACTATTTTTCAACTGACTAGTTTCTTTCCCTTCATGTTGCTTCTTTGTAATTGTGATGTGTCTTGAACATCATTTAAGTTGCTATTTTCATATTATAAAAGTATTTATCTTATTAAAATGGCAAAGGGTAAAGGAATTTTTAACAGAATTCTTAAGCTTAATTAAAATTTAACTTATCTTTAAACACTTTTTTGTCAATACAGATAAAAAAAAAATACAGGCATAATTACACATATTATTAGTCTTAATATCGGCTTTGGTTTATTAGATATCGACGAATGTTCTAGTAATCCCTGTCACAATAATGGCTCATGTATAGATGGTATAAACCAATTCCAGTGTGTATGTCTTCCTGGATTTACGGGTAACCTATGTGAAAGAGGTAATTATGATTTCATACTCTCTTGCTTCATACAATTATTCCATAAAGATGATATTAAAGTTCTCAATTCTATTAAGCGAAATTCTAAAGACAGAAAAATTAGAAATTGTTCTAAGACTTATTTCCACTTTTAGCATTGATTTTACAGGTTTCCATTTTAGAGATATAAGATTATGTAAATTATTAACTCATCATTGATTAACCTTAACGTGTGCCTTTGATCATTAGATATTGAGGAATGTTCTGGTATCCACTGCCACAATAATGCTTCATGTATAGATGGTATAAACCAATTCCGATGTGTATGTCTTCCTGGATTTACGGGAACCCTATGCAATTTAGGTAATTATGACTAAATTCAATAGACTACGTTTACCCCATACTCCACATATTCATCTCCTGCTAAATATGTTAAAAGTATACTTCAGGGAAAGATAACATAGAAACAGTTACATAGGTTATCACATCATAAACATTTTTCTGAAAAATAAAAACCTAGTAAGAAGGGACAAATTTAAAAGAACAATTCTAATATCTAAGACTCGAATTTTTTCTCAGAAGTAACAAAAGGGTGATGAAGTAGTAAGCATGATATCAAATATGTCTCGCCTCTTACGATTTGTCATTTTCGAAGCTAAGAAAGTCCACTGACGAATAAATTGATGTTACAAGGCCTTCTACAAACTCTTTTAAAGTCTGCATTTTGTATATTCTTTGGACATGATATTTTTGCAAATACTATCAAACATTGGGTCATATTCTGACAGACCTTCTTTAAAACAGATTTTGACGTAATTGTTTCATTTGAAAGATTCATTATAGTTTGCTCTTCCATTTTTCTGATCAATAAAGAGGACTTACGGCTGATGTGATTAGTCGACAGAGGATACTTACTCTTCTCTGGCTACTGACTAAACTTCTGCTCTTTACCGGGGTTGTTTTTCTCATTTAATCTCAGTTATCTTGTTTACAGGATTTAAGAAATATGAAAATAAGAACAGCAATTACTCTCAAAAGTCCATTAAACAATATAAAGTATTAGCAGGGTAAACATGGACCTCAAAACATTAGATATGGGATTAGGTGCCCTGGAGAAGTAAGCATCCCTTGTCAACCGGACACTCACAAGCTAAAGTCATCTCGTTTATCAGAAAGTTTAGTTGACAGTTGGCCTCAAACTCTTTCTTTAGTAAATATCAAAATATGAAACAGATTTTTCAGATTTTGGTGTCTTCTATTTTGAGTTCAAAAGATAATCGAATCAACGTAGGGAATAAAAAAATGGTAATTGATGGAACGTCGTCGTATCTAAATGTCGAATTAAAGGGACGGAAAAAGACTTTTTTTTAATGAAGAAGTGCCATCGATCACTGTTTATCATCTTTACCTAAGTATTTTATAGGTGTCTATTTGAAAAGAAAAATAATACCATCTGCAGCTTACAGTTATAATCACTGTAACATTTTGGAAACTTAATTAACTCGTTTGTTTGTTAAAGTGGTTCATATCAGCAATTGTTTTCATTTTCTTGCTCCCCATGGTGTTTCTTTGTGATTGTCATGTCATAAGGGGCATAATTTAAGCTGGCAAATTTCATTTTACAAGTCTATAATATATAAATGGAAAAAGCAAAGAACATTTTTAACAGAATTTTCCTCTTTTTATACATATTTTTCTTTCCAAAGCTTCGTAAATGATTATCTCACATATATATCAACCCTGTTTCTCTTTTTGTTCATTAGATATTGACGACTGTTCTGGCCATCCCTGCCATAATAATGGTTCATGCATAGATGGTATAAACAAGTTCCAGTGTGTATGTCTTCCTGGATTTACAGGCACTCTATGTGATTTGGGTAATTATGATTATATAATACATTATCAATACTCACACAACAATTCTAATATACTTCTGAATGTGTAAAAAATTATTCCTTTGGTTGACACTTCAGGGGGAGATTATAAAGAAATACTTTGAGTGATCACATCAAATCCAATTTTTGGAAATAACGAGTGACAAAAGACATACTTGAGGGAAAAAAATTATAGGTTAGATTAATATTCTTTATCACATATGTACCGAATATAGGACAGAAGCGGTACATATATGCAATCATTTTTGTCAGGGAGTTGTAAATGAAGAACTGCATCAGGATTTGTCAATGAGTGTCCCTTGCAACAGAAAACGCAATAATAACTCTTCACAGTTATAATCACATGAATACATATTGCAGTATTTGCCTAATTAATTCTGTTGTATTCAGTTGTCCAAATGCATTTCCTCCATGAAATGTATGGAGATAACGAACAGTATTCAAGCTCAAAAGTCCATTAAATAACACAAATTTTGGAGCAGAGCAAACACGGACCTCTAAAACATCAGAGGTGGGATCAGGTGCCATGGAGGAGTGAACTTCCCCTGCCGATCCTTGTCATGATCGGGAAATAACGGAATAATCCGTCGACAATTCAGTGTCAATCCATATTGATTTGTTGTGATTGCGATATCATTTGTTCATCAATTTAGTCGCCAAACTCTATTACATATTTGTTTAGTTAAATGGAAAGGGGGCAAATGTGATTTTGTACAGACCTCATAGACCTAATTCAACCTTTACCCTTCATACATGTATTCCTGTTCAGAGATTTTTAAATGATTTCCTCAGATCTTGATTAACCTCGATATATGCTTTGTTTTATTAGATATTGACGACTGTTCTATCCATCCCTGCCATAATAATGCTTCATGTATAGATGGTATAAACCAATTCCAGTGTTCATGTCTTCCCGGATTTACGGGTACTCTATGTGAAACAGGTAATTAAGTATTCATAATTGTAAAGGATATAGGGATGAGTGACAAAAAATCTCAATATAGGAAGCCACAAACAAAACATTCTTTTTCATCATTGAAAAAAATCAATGATTAACCCCCCCCCCCCGCGCCTCAAAATATATTCTTTTAGAAATTACTTTATATTGTTTATAAACAGAAAATGATAGAATGGTAAACACAGTCCTTGTATATTCCTTTATCAAAATAAAGTTACGATTAAAACTTAAGAAGCCATATTTAATTTATCCAACTTATTTAATATATATCTGAATAATTTTCAAAGTATGACAAATACTGCTTAAAAGGAACACATAAGCTCTATGGCCCACTAGTGTTCCGTATATTTGTACTTCCGGATTTCAAAGCCTAGGACTGTGGACTGTTCATCACACGTACAAATGCCGAAAAATAAATCAATTCCACTTATCTGTTTCTACATTGTAATGATATAAATATTTTTTGGCATGACAAGTATTGTAACATTGATTTACAAGTATTGTAACATTGTTTTCACTAATTATTGATATGTCCATAAAGTTAAAAAACTTTATAAACAGAATATTGTTTGAGATTTTAGTTTTTTGAAAAAAATCTTTTTTTCAAAATGCAAAAAGAAACTGTATTTTTTGATATGCAAATGGTTATGTAATTAAAGTGTTCTACATTTTACGGAATGAAATGGAACACATGACTATATATATTTTTCAGATACTGTAGCATCGAATCAATATTGTGATAAGCACGGTCATCGTCAGAACACGAACGATGATTGTGTTCGTAACATTGAAAATTTGAAAATGTCGGTATGTATAAATTTTATCGAAAATCCTTCTCAACAAAATAAACATAGATTTAGTTTCTTATCAGCGTCTATTTCGTTTAAAAAAAATTTTTCATCTTTCAGATTCTTTTTTTTTGTATTTAAAGAAATTACAAGCTTCTAAATTTATCGGTTTAAATTGCTTTAATAAAAATATTATACATTTGACGTTTTGGAAACTCAAAAATGGAAATTTTCAATTTTCATACTTTGATAGAGGATTTTACATGCTATTGCTTTGACGTCATATGTATCAATTATGGTCTAGCGAGGCACGTTTGGTTTATACCAAACCGACCAATGATTACATATCATATACCTGTTATGCAACATATGTTATTTCCTATGTAGTTTGTAACACGAGCTATGATTGGCTACAAAATTCGGATGTAAATTTCCGTACACCCGACTTGAGCCGGGGGTAAGAAACATGACGACACAATGCATAGTTTTTCTATGATAAAAAACAAAAAAAAACATATGACGTCACGATGCATTGTAAGACGTAGTAAATCTTATTGATAGCTTGAAACACAGTTGATTTGACTTGTTTACAAAGAATTTCTTTGGGTACATTGGAAATAAATTGGTTATCCAGGTCCAGTTAAGGGTGTACGGGGATTTACCCCGGGTTAAATTCCATACACCCTAAGGGTGTATAGAATTTAACCCGGGATAAATCCCCGTACACCCTTGACTGGACCTAGATAACTAATAATATTCAACTGAATTTATTCAATTATGGTGTAATTTTCAGCCGTACACTAAGAAAGATTTAGAAAGAGCTTTTTTCACATTCTTTCAAGTACTCTGGTGGGAAGAAAACAAAAATGATCATTTTTTGCCAATGCGAGAGCGTTGTCTCTGTTTAAAACCATTATTGGGCTCCGACCACGACTTTTTTGTATTTATAATATATTTTTGATGAAATACATTGTAGTATCTTGTGAGAAAATAACCGTCGTGCATTAAGAAGTACTAAAAAATCTAGTGGATCAAATGGAGACATAAACCCATCACATACTCTCTTAGTCTTCAGTTTAAAAGAATACTGCTACATTTATCAGGTTTAAAACTTGCAGTGCTGTGTCTTTATCTATTTTCCCTCAAATTGTAAAACAAACCAAAAAAACTTCAGAATTTAAAAAAACTTAAAATTTAGATTTATAATTTTTAAAATGAAGAATATTGCCTTAATTTCAAGCGTTGAAGACAATATCTATATAAATTGTTTAAATGTCTATGAAAGAAAAAATAAGAACTGCGTCCACTTTTCAGTTTCTGACAAAGTGGACATGTTTGATAGTTAATGAACTTATTTTCACTTTTCTTTGTTATAACCGGTTCCGAAATGCTGGAGGCAAACGATGTCGTGTTTACTCAGCTTCCATCATCAGCTAAAATACTGTAAACCAACTTTTATTCGCGTACAAGAAATATTAGCGAGTTTTGCGACCTACTTTAACTCGCGAATATTAATCGCCGCGAACCATTTATTTTGCTTTGTTTTTGTAGAGAATGTTTCCTAAGTCGCGAATGTTAATCGTCGCGGATTGATTTCAAACTGACGAATCGCGAATAAATGTTGATGGGAATAATAGTTCGTTTACAGTAGTCTTACTTAATGACCGAGTCGCCCGCGTGGCGCAGTGGTTAGAGCGTCTCCTCTAAAGCCGCGAAGTAAGGAGTTGATCCTTACGTCGCGGGTTCGAATCCCACTGTGGGACGTGTATAAACCGAGGTCCCGTGTCGCAGTAGGTGCTGGCACGAAAAAGATCCCTCACTCTCTATGGACGTAAGTACCGAGTATAGGACAAAATTTGCAGCTCTCCACCGGCAAGTGGTGGCGTCTCCATATGAGTGAAAAATTCTCGAGAGGGACGTTAAACAACATACAAACAAACAAACTTAATAACCGATGTATTGTCACTCTCCATCTCAAACAAATGTCTGGATCTGAAAAAAAAAATATATGGCCACCACTCCTTCAACATCCTGGCACACGTAAGCGAGTTGGCATTCTTTACAAATTAATTGATTTTGGGGTATTTGTCCAGGAGAATTACCACCATTACCCTCTGCCACCTGTTTACACTGACTCAAGCGCTTGACAAGTTCAAACGTTTACGTAATCACCGATGATACTACAGCGCCATCCGTCGGTAAATGACGTAAATACGTCCAATTCCTGAAAAACTGAATTAAGAGAACTTAAATAATCCATTACCTTTAATAATTTGAGAATTTAACCTATTTATAAACAAATCGCCACATTTTGTCGATGTATCTAGTTACAAATTTTACTAATTTATTTCTCTATACTGGAGGTTTTCAAAATAATAAAATCTAAGTTAACACTTTAAATGATTGAATATACATTACATAGAAATTTTGATGATGTTCAGGTTTTTACTGTATAGTGAATTTATTTTACATTTAATTTTTTTTTTCTCGATCTATTTATTCTTAGATCTTCTCATCGAAAAATGATACCTATGGCGTCATAATACCACCATCTAATTTGTGGATATTTTTAATGCGAGGACCTAAATTTATTTTTATTCCCAATTGACTTTCTTTCAAGCTTATAAAACGGTAAAACGATAATTTAAAGTTACAAGAATGTGACTGCTTTTAATTTTTTTTTTTATAATATTATATACGTGATCAAAACCCTTTGCAGATCAATATAAAACTTTTCTCTTTCGTCCTAACAAGGTTGATTCCCTTCTACAAGTAAATTTATCTAAGACTGAGGTACAGCATACAATTGATAACACGCTAAATTCATTACAAGAATTCTCTCTGAACACGGAGAAGAGCCCAGCAGATCTAGACAATTCTATAAATATACTGGATAAAATTTTAGATGTCTCCCAAGCGTCCAACCTCTCCTTACCAAAGACGGTACGTTTTTAGAGAACATTTGAATGAAAAAATATTTAATTGTTTTCATTCAAATAATTTATATAAGATATAGAATTCAAAGAAAGATGTGTCATAATTAGGTGGTCGTGACTACTATAGATAACTTTCTGGCAGAAAATCACACCAACGTATGGAAAGACACTTCCAAAAGCAAGGTATTATACAATAAATCTTGATATATACGTTCTCTCAGAATTAATTTTGTTCTCTCAGAATTCTTTTTTAAGCGGGTAACGATATAATCAATGTTAATTTGAAATGAACAGACAAATGGAAGAGTTAGTAAAATTCTGAAGACAGTTGATAAATTTGGGATGCATATTTTGGAGAATGTTAAGGAGAACGAAAGCATTACGTTCAACACCACGAAAAATATGAGTATGAATTTTCATTTACAATGTTTTTATTTCCTAGGAGACTATAAATGATGTATTGGTTCTTAAATTTTGCATGTATTTGTTTTGATAATCAATTATTTACTCTCTTCACACCAGAAAGTGGATTAATATAGAAATCTTTAATTTTTTTTAAAAACTGCTTTATCGTCTATATATTAATTTTTTAATGATTATAAATTCCTACATTTTCAGTTCTTACCGTCGCAAAAATACCAGCAGATGATGATGTTGTTTTTCCAAATAAAGACAATACAAGTTCATCTTTAGTATGGCCAGCACAACTTCACAGTTCAAGTCAAAGTAAAACCAATTTTAATGAATCTTGTCTCTTGAAGATCAAGAATATTGATAATAAGATTATACGTGTACGATTAATAATGTTTAAACAAATAAACATAATATTTACTATTTTTGACCATATCACTAGGTATTCCGTATTTGGCGGTGAAATACAAAACCATAGGCAATATTATGAATGGAAATAAAAGGTGTGAGTTAATCTTAAAAGACATTTATCTTGTGTACACTTCTATGAATTGATATCAAAACATTCATTATTTCTTGAAAGATGAATTTTCTTTCAATTACAGAAAGAACAATACTTCGAAATACGAAGTAGTATCTGACATTTTGGCATTAACTTTAAAAGCAGATTTACGCAAAGAAATATTAAACCCACCTTTACAACTGAAAATGTTTAAGAAAGTAAGTGATATCAAATAGAAGCATTTCTTATTGAACAAAAAATATTTTAATTGTCTCATTTCATTCATTTCATTACTTTTTTTTGTTTCATTACCTATCACAGAATCTATCTAACTCTATTAGTGAATGTGCATTTTGGGATTTTGAAAGCAAGTAAGTAAAACTATTCTTAAACAAAGGTTACTTAAATGGAATTATTAACACAAGAAAAATATGAATTTAAAACTAAAAATATTTGAAGAAATAAGCATATTTTAAGAATATTTTTAAATGATTCTGTAACAGTAACGGAGATGGTGGATGGTCAACAAAAGGATGCAAAACACAATCGACAAATGATCTTTACATACAGTGTGATTGCGATCATTTGACGAATTTTGCAGTTCTGGTTCGACCTTATGTAAAGGTTTTATTTTTATTTACTATAATACACCATACATATCTTAATTTATTTTCCATTGTCCGGTAAATATGCAAAGTGATTCAAAATAATAATTAATATACAATAAAAACTACAGATCTGCACGATTCATATCTTGGTACTTTTGTTAACAGCTACATGAGGATGAAGAGGCTTTGAATTGGATATCCGTCATTGGTTGCTCAATATCTGTTTTCTTTTCCTGTCTGACAGCTATTGTATATCTTGTTTTATGGAAGTAAGATCTTACAGGGGAATTATATTTGACAATTATTAATATTACCTTTGTTACTGTTCGATTTTTCCATACATTTCACTTCATGTCTTTTAATGTCTTTTTCTTGCTAAAACTTGTTAGGTCCATCACATCAGACATCAGCCGGATGATTGATAAGATAACAGTTCTCCTTTGTCTCAGTATTGCCGCATCCTATGCTGCATTTCTAGGAGGAATCGATAAAACCCAATTTAAGGTAAAGGATCGTTATAACGTGTGCGATTTATCACTATTATTCTTCCAAAGACGATTTTCAAAATAACAAATGTAAGTTAACACTTTTAAATACATATATCTTCCTTCAAAATAGTTTAGATGGAATTTGTAATAAAAGTAAAAGGGAAACCACGAAGACGATTTACCATGTATTTGTTATAGGTTGGGTGTATCGTGATTGCAGCCGTTTTACAGTGTTTGTTCCTGAGTATATCTTTCCTGATGTTGGCTCTTGGGATGTATTATTTCGTCAGCGTTTCTTTGGTTAAAATATCGTTTTCCAAAGCAACAAAATTAAAAAGTGACGCGAATACTTTCAGTAAAATTATATGGGCTATTGTGTTTGGTGAGCTAAACCATTACCTCTATAAGAAAAAGTTTATTTGAAAAATTTGAATTTTTTAAACTTTAAAAAGTTTTCGGTGAAATCAAAGACCGAATAATCTTATTTAAACGAAAAGAAGTACTTGAATGTTTTACTTTTTTTTTTTTATTAAGTAATGCCTGTTTTGATCACTGCTGTAACATTTGGAATAATATATTCTTCCGGCAAGGACTACAATACAAACAACAGGTAATTGTAATTTGATTGAAATACTTTTTTAAATTCAAAATTATATATTTAGACCGCGTCCTTATTATATGCAATCACATGGTATTTTGTTTGCTTTTATTGTTATTTTGCAGTTGTTGGTTATCATTCGAAAGTGGGGCATTGTATGGTTTCATAGGACCTGTAGCTCTTATTATTTTGGTAAGAAATAGCATTTCAAAAATCTTATTTCATTTCTGCATATTTTATCTGATTTAATATTTCTCTAAATACTGTTAACCAGCTTTTCTTGTGAATAGTATTCCCTACTTTTGCAAGGACATTGGATTTTTTTTTTAAATAGAAAAATCGTTGAAGAACATTGCGTATGGTTGAATTAATTGAAATCGCAAAAGAAAGTATATTTCATGAAAATAAATATGGTTTACAGCAATGTTTAAATATCCGTATTTAGCATATTATAATGGTTACTGGATGAAATATCTAGCATATTATAATGGTTACTGGATGAAACCTCAGATATAATTAAGCAAATCTTTTTTTTGAAACTCAGATCAATATTGTGATTGTTATAACTTTGTGTGTGACGCTATGCTCATCTAAGATAGTATCTAATAGCACAACGAAGAAACGGGCACTGTAAGTTATTTCCATATTTATTGAAACTGATTGAATTTTTAATTAATAATACATGACGTTTGAATGATAAGTTATTTTCCATATCTATTAAAGCACAGATGGATTTTGAATTTATAACAAATGGCGTTATAATGATACAAACTGATTCTGAATTACAAGCTTGGGTTTGAGAACCTAGAGTTATTTTTATATTGCCTTAAACAATTTTAGATCAGGTATAAAGTCAATCTCCATCCTGTTACCTGTCCTTGGAGTGACGTGGGTCTTTGGCCTTTTGTCCATCAGTGATGATGTCATTGTGTTTGAATACATATTTGCTATCTTAAATTCTTTTCAGGTATTCATATTCAATCGAGTTCGAATTTTCAAAATCAGTTTATTTTTTTTTTTTACAACTTTAAATTTCAAATAAAATGCTATAAGCATAATATTGTATTCTTTCTAGGGACTTTTCATTTTCATTTCAAAGTGTCTTTTGAACAAAAAGGTAAATATAAAACAATAATTAAAGATCTATTATAATAAAAGAGATATCCCTTATTTTTAAAAAGATGAAAAGAAAAGAGAAGAAATGAAAGTTGTATGGTATTATATTTTAATCAGTAGTTATGAAAGTTGTGACATTTACCCTTGATTTATATATCAACAAAAGTGATCTATGTAAATATATACATACATGTAATTCATACTTAGACATATTTCCCATTAGATTTATTTATACATGTTTATCTACTTATAAACTAAATTTTAGATCAGGAAAGCTTTCTTTGGGAAATTATGCAGGAAAAAAACTGAGAAAACACGAAGTAAACTCTATACACTAGAAAGTAATGATACACGGTCCTCCTACGTCAAAGAGTTCTCTTCTGAATCAAGTGTAAGTGTGAATTTAGCCATATCATATTAGAAATGTGACTTTAAAAAAGATTTAAAAAAGAATTATTGAATTATATTCCTATATTTAAAAAGTATCTATAATTCATTTTATTTATAGATCCAGATTAAAGAAGATGATAGAACTGAATATATAAGTGAGGATCTCGTAAAGGTATTTTTTTTTTACTTTAATTTAGTACAGATATAATTACTATAAACAATGCATATCCTGATTGTGTTATGATTCATTTTATTGAATAAAATTTTGCAAAGTACTGTATTCATATTAAAATCAATGATAAATTAATATATCAATTATATAAATTGTTCACCAGTGTAAAAGACACTTATTTTTATTTGCAGGGAATTGCATTTAATTTCAAAGAGAGTACAGATCTTTGAATGTGCTTCATGAAAATCAACATTAAATTATTATGTGTGGAGTGATATATATGAAGAGATTCTCAAAGGCTATTTTTATAAAAATAATTGTACATTTAATAATGTGTATCCATTTAAACATTGAACATGAATAAAACGGTTTTAAAAAGCTTCAAGTGTTCTGGTAGAACTGTACAGACTATAAATTTGCTCAATATGTAAAACAACATTTTTTCCCCTTTCGTTAATATAAGATTAGATTTCCGCTTTGTGTCCCTTCTATTAGGTGTCCTCTCATGAGAACCCACAAAAACTGATAATTTTAGCAAATTTAAATCTCCACTATGTTTTTGTATCTATTGTTGTCCTAACAACAAAGCCTTATGATGACTCCAATTTTTCAATATTCAACTGCCCTTACTTATGTAGAAATATACCCTTATCATTGCATATGGGGTTTCTGACTCCCAGTTGATTCCATTTGCAAGAGCATGCTCTACGTATGAACACTTTCTAAAACAATGCAAGCTTTTGACAAACAAGTTTATGAAACAAGGATATCATCAGACTCGTTTGAAGTCAACATTTTGCAAGTTTTATGGTAGATACAAGGACTTGTCTGCAAATACAACCAATAATTATGTCAAATGCTGATTGACGTTTTTCATACTAATTGTTAGGCCATTATTTACACACCGAACTGTCTACGGTTTTTCCGTTTTTCCCGATCATGACAGGAAGCACTTAGCGGGTGTGACCGGCCGACAGGGGATGTTCACTCCTCCATGGCACCTGATCCCACCTCTGATGTTTTTGGATGTCCGTGTTTGCTCAGCTCCCTTTTGTATTGTATATTGGACTTTGAGCTTGAATACTGTACGTTACCTCTATATTTCATTCCAAACCTCCTATTTTAAAGAGAAATTTAGGGAAACCTAAGGGAATTAAATGGACTTTTGTAGGTCAATTGCCGCTGTTACCGAATTTGTTCATTACTTTATGAGCGAATTTGTTTTAGAAAAGTAAAATGTGAAATCTCCACTTCCGCTTCTAAATTTTAAGCAGATTAGATTCTTAACATGTTCGTTTTTTTTTTTTTTTTGATTATTATAGAAAAATACGATAATTGATCAGTCCATATAATTGTAGATATATGTATCATTATGTACGGTAGCCGGTAGGAACCAGGTAGAAAAATATTTTATCTGGAGGTCGCCAGATAAATTTCTGGCGGCCGCCGCATAAATAACTGGCGGCCGCCAGATAACTTATCTAGCGGCCGCCAGATAAATATTTGGCGGCCGTCATATAATTTTCTTGCGGCCGCCAGATAAGTTATCTACGGAAGCCGTTAGGTGCCAGATAGAAAAATATTTTATTTGGCGGCCGCCAGATCTATTTATCTGGCGACCGCCAGAAAATTATATTGCGACCGCCAGATAAGTTATCTGGCGGCCGCCAGATCTTTTTATCTTGCAGCCTCCATATAATTATTTGGCGGCCGCCAGATAAAATATTTTTCACCTGGCACTTACCGGCTTCCGTATATATGCAACAATGCACAAACACAAAAAAATGACATAATAATTTCTTCTTCATAATAACAACTGTCAGAGAGGCCTGAATATAATCCGTTTTATTACATTTTCAACAGTGAAATACTGTTATTTATTTACTGAACAAGAAAACATTGATGTAACCATCAATTGTCGCCCGGAAAATAAATAAAGTAAACAATGGAAATGAGTCTTTATCATCAAACCGCTTCGATATGTGTGAAAAAGGCATGCGTCTAAATGATGGAGACGATACTCGAGAATATTTTGAAAACTTATAGTCGGATGAAAATCGAACAAAAACGATACCCTTTTAAACTTTATCAATTCCTCAAGTAAATGTTGGCTGCATAAAATCTAATTTGAAACCAGACACATGCATCACCTATTTTCAAAAATATCTTTCACTTTAAGAATATAAAACACGAACTGTGTAAAGTACATTTTTACGTTTTTATGCGATAAGTAAAATTCGATGTTCTAAAAAAAGGGACCTGTCGTTTTTTCGATAGTAAATGATAAGCAACTTTATATATTAAATATGAAAAACATATATATTTTTACAGATTCACTTTATGGAAGTAAATATATTGTGTATCTTGTAATTTATAAAGGGAAAGAACATTCTGATTAACAATCTTTTTAATGTTTAGAAAACCTTTAATTCTGAATAACTTCTCCCTTCTCAATCCCCATATACAAACACTTAAACTTATATGTATAGAGCAGCCCGGTCCTCCGGGCTGCAATAAAAGTGATATTCTGACACAGTGTGAAAGGGTATTCTCACAGTGTGAGAATATTAGAAGTGCAGCAAAACTTACGAATTTCCTTCCCTTCATGAAGAGTGTTTTAAAAAAGAAATCATGGACTGTTATAAGATAGAGTTAATGAACCATCCTGGTCCTGACAGATACTAATAGTTATACTGCCAAAAGTTTTTCCAAATATGTCGTTAAAAATCCATGTTTACAACGTTTTTCAATCTCGCAATCGCTTAGCTATGACGTCTCAATCGCTCAACTATGACGTGACAGCCTATGACACTGCGTTATGAAATGACAGAGGCAAAGGAAAATCTAAGAAAATGTATTATTACATCTACATGTACAAAACATTGAATATCCTCTTATACATTAAATTTGATCTATAATTGCAAATCAAGACTTTATGCATTCTATGTCCACAAAATTTATAAATAATGTAAAATGTCAACTACCCTTGTTAGTGACTGCACCATATGTCCGTTACACTTCATATAGTCTAATGGAGTTATTTTTTTATCCAATTGAAAAAGCATTGTACTGTTCAACACTGAACTTAAATTTTTAACTGAGTAGTTTGAAAAGATTAGCGAAAGTTACTTAAAAAAAAACTAAGCAAAACTTATTACTTGAATATCAATGATTTTTTTTGAAGGTTATAATAAGGAAAGTCTTCAGTTTCGTTTTGTTGTCGGAAAAGGTACTATTTCATACATGTCTTTTAATGTTCATTTTGCCTAATTAAGATCTTTATATACCCAGCTGACTAGTCATATCGAAAGCACTATCGAATGAAGAGTAGTACTAATGGAAGTTCTTTATCTTTGATGTCGTTGAAGCTATTGTAATGTGGGTATGACAGGTGGATAATCCCCCCCCCCAACCCCCACCCCCGTCTAGATTTAGAGACGATGCTTATTTCCTACTGGAGTGAAATATGAAGATAAACAGTATTCAATCTTGAAATCTTCAGATTTGACAGCGAAAGATAACGGAAAAGACCAACCATTCTGCCCATATCAGTTTCTCTTGGCATTATATACTGAATTTTGTTTTGATATTGGTCTGCCGAAATTAAA